GGTCTCAGAAGAGCAGAGTAGAGGGGGAGAATCCCCTCCCTCGACCTGCTGGCCACACTTCTCCTGATACAGCCCAGGATATGGTTGGCTTTCTGGGCTGCCAGCGCACACTGACATGCAGTCATAGAAGTCTGCTACTAAGGAAGATGTATACAAGTGTAATTTGTGGTCTTTAATATTAGTCCCTCCCAGCTGGAAAAATCAAAATATCGTATTGGTTGTAAGATATGAGTGTTTGCTTTTCTCTTGGCTTGGTTTCAGGAAAGATGGAATTTTTAGTAGCTAATGAATACTGAGTGTAAGGTGGTTCCTTAGTAGGCGGGAGAAGTGGGAGGATATTTAGGGAGCCTATGGTGCTTGTCAGTGGAGGTTTGGAACTACAGGTTTGTCATGTCCTGGATTCTTGCCTGTGACCATGTCCCATCCCAGTTCATTGGGTCCATGCACACAGTGGCAAGAAGAAGGGAGATGTGACTCAAATTTGCCGATTCCCTCGGTTGGAATAGGGTGTATGCAACTCCTGAGATCTGTAGGTAAACAGAAACTTCTATTCCATAGTTAGGCTCATTGGTAAACAATTAGGTAGCAGAAATACTTACTGCTTCCCATGTGTGGGGGGTTTATGCCTTGTGTTACTTAATAAAGAAAGGTAAACAGACAAAATAAAGGTGGAAAAAAAAAGAGAGGGATCATGGGACTGGGTTCCAGCATAGGTCCAGCCAATGGGGGTCTCTGATCTGTAAGAGGGCTTGTGCAGAAGTTCCAGGAATTCCTTTCCATTCCTCTACATGGTATTTGTGATCCCCCTTTTTATTCTCATCCTTCCAGTGTGGATTGCCTTTTTCCTAAAATATTGACTAAAATCTGTTTGCCTAGCATGTAAATTAGTACACCTGTCCAGTTTCTTTCCTCTGCCTCCTTCTTTTGGGTTGGTGGTATAGTTGGGGTAGGTGGTTGTGATCTACCCCTGCTACGTTTACCTTTTCTCCAGTTGGATCTTTGCTGACTCCACTGCCTCCTGTCCAGCCCTTGCCACCTTCTGAGGCAGGATGTTCGTTTCTTATCAGAAAGCTTCCTTTGATTGTGTGTTACTTGGAAGTGTTTGAGACATTCCTCGGAGAAGCTTAGGGGGGAGCGAGGTTTGCACAAGAAGTCCTAACCATTACAAAAAGCAGGGCTGTCCTGCCTCTGCAGGGCCCTTCCTTGTCGGCATCCTGTGGTAGTCAGGTGAGTCTCCGCTTCCCCGGGGTGCGCAAGTCTCTTCACATGTATCCACCCCACTGAGCGAACGATCCTCTGGGTCAGAGGGATTTATGGGTTGGCAAAAGATTGGGTTTGTTTAGCTTTCTGCTTTGTCTCTCACACCACCCCATGGCTCAAACACTCCCAAGTTGTTCTTCGAACACTGTGATCCATACATAGCAGACAGGTACAGAGGAAAGAGGACAAAGTGAGAGATCATACACCTAACAATTGTGAGGCCTAGCATTAAAAACAAAAACCCACATGATATCATAAGACCAATATTTACAAGCCATCTTCCCCCCCATGAGTCAGAGAGATTTCGGCAGCGATGTAGCCCGTGGTCTGGGGCCAAGTCCATCAACCCAGTCTGCCGGCTGCGTTGCTTGAAACAATTCCCTGGTCTTGCCAGCAACTTCCTTCATCTTCGCACAGGCTTCTTCTGTCGAGTTGGAGGTGTTATGGATGGTGATACAGTATTCTCCTGTTAAATTTAACATTCCACATACCTCATGTTCTTTCAACAGTAACGTATTCAAAACTAGTCTCTTTCTAGGTACCTGTTGATTCTGTGAATTCATTTCTCTCCAATTACTTAGGATGTGTACTTGACAGATCACATTTTCTAAGGCAAGTTGGTGCCTTTTGAGGGTCACATATGGGGTAAATATATTTTCTAATATCAGAAATGTCATGCCCCAGATACAATAATCATGTACTCGGACTCCATGCACTGCCCACTCAGCTAGTGCCTGGGGTCCATCACTTTCTCGGCACCTTCTCTTTTGATGAGGCACTGAGAAATCAAATACTCTAGAGGAAACCCTAATTGGCATAACCCCAGCAAGCACATATATATCCCGAATGAACATTCTCAGTTCTGGAATATACAGAGTTTTCAAGCAGGTCACTTGCTCCTGTAAAGCAGATTAATACTGGGGAGCAGTTCAAGAGGGATTTTTCTGTCATGTCCTGGGTGACACTCCGATGTTACCAATTGCCCCAACACAGGGTTTCCCCATTTGGAAGTGTCACTTGGTTATGCATACAGGTTTCAGCACTCGCGTCCCACTGAATGTTGGTCCCATCAGGGAGGTCAGAAGTAGAAGACAAAGGGCAGTTGGGATTAAACAATCGTTTTACAGACCAGGCACATTCATATCTAGTAGTTAACAAGGTGAATTTCCCCTGGTTTGTCAGGGATTTGTACACACCTGTCTGTGTCCCAGTGCATGTTCTATATGTGTTCAAAATAACCACTTTCGGAGGGGGAATCCAAACTCTGTACAAGGAACAGAAACAGAGGTGACATTATTTGTTTTCTTATCAGAATATTTGTTTAAAGATTAAGCTAGATTCCACTAATCTTCCCAAGTAAAATTGCTTGGGAGTTGATACAAAGCCCTTGGGTATTCAGTCCATGTCTCATTATCTCTCCATGGCTGTCCACCTTTCTGTTTATTCCCCATGTGATTATTTTTCCCTGTTCAGTTAAAACCTTTTAAGATTTAAGGTAATCACTATAAATTTGAATTCCTCTGCTGCCAAACTGTGGAGGGCAAAACATATTGGTCTGTCTGGTCCCAAATATGCATAAACCCTGTTAACTCCCAGGCTAGATTGCGGGATTTACCTCATAATCCCATTACCCAAACAGTGGCAGAGAAGAAATATGTTTTCTAGTCCATGTTTCCTTAGTACAATACAAAAATATTCCTAATAAAATCAAACAAGCAATACAAGTAACAATCCACTCTGCAGTTGGACATGGGTCCCGTGACTGTTTGTATGCAACCTGCAATGCATCTATACAAAACAGAGAATGATTAAAAGGATGGAACTATCCTTTGAGTATGGATTCGATGTTCCTTTCTGTGGGCATCTGTAACTACCCATGTATAGGGATTGACAGGAGTCTTCAGGGTCAGGGTACCTGTCCTACAGTGGGTAAGTCCACCAAAACAGGCTGTCCCAGATAGTGGAGCGCGGGTTCACAGAGTCCTTGTTTTTCTTTTTCCCAGGGAATATGGACAGAGGCTTAGGACAAAACGCAGTGAGTTATGTGCATCCATTAATTCTCCAACAGATATTAACCTTAGTTAGTGCATCAGGTATCTGTTGTACCCATCCAGGGTCATGAGGCCTCAAGGCTCTTTAGGAGCCCATTTGTGTGCTACACAATGCTGTTTGCTTGAGGGTGATGTGGAGTATGAAAAACACCCTGTATTCCTTCATCCTGTACCCATTCTTGGACCACCCTGGCAATAAAGTGACTCCCATTATCCAATTGAGTTGATTTGGGTTTAGGCAGGCAACTAAACAACAGTTTTGGGCCTTTTACTGTATTATCCCCTGTTGCTTGCTGGACTGCCTCTAGGGGTCGAGGTGAATTCGGTATTGACCCACGTACTAACACATAACGTTTTCCCTCTGAGAGTCAGAAGGGACTGATGTCCTTTGCTAGGTGTCCCACTGTCCCTTAAGTATAGGGGTTGGCCGTTGGAGGGTTGTGCTCTCCCAGTTGAGTATGGCATAAGCTGAGATGATGTTGGTGCACAATTCACTTGTCACGGACCACCTTCTGCTGGTTGCTTCCTTGAAAAGACCTGTAACTCCTGAATGGCCTCTCTTTACGTGCAGCCACTCTAACAGATGTTCTCATGTTTCTTCCTCCCCGTCCATTGCCTTTCCTGCTAAGCAGGCCAGTGAATCCACCTGATTATTCAAAAGGTGAGCTGGATGATCACCTGCCTGGTGTGCAGAACCCATCCTGCCAGCAATTATTTCTGTTTAGCAATATTTAGGATTTATTCCTTTTTTTTTTTTTTTTTTTGTTGCCACGCTGAGCAATGATTGACCTCCCATTGGTTTTGTTCCCAAAATGAGAGCGATTTGGTACATCCCTTGATCACAGCATATGATTCAGTGTAAATAAACTCTGGTTCTTTGCTTTCTGCTTCCCTAACAACCACTGTCCGTGTGGCTACCAGTTCTCCCTGGTAGCCCTTCCCTCCCCTTCTGTTATTGTCTGGTCCCCTGAGTCAGTATGCAGTGCTCCAGCTTGGTATCTCCATACCTTCCCCTCTCTTCTAGAGGAAGCATCAATGAACCATATGTTCTTCAGGTGGGATTCAAATGGAGGAGCAGGACTTACATAGGAAGGAGGAGGCTCCTGGTCTGGGTGATCAGAGGGTGGATCCTGTATCCGAAGCAGCTTGGGTGTTCCTTCCTCTGCCTGGCACGCACGGCAGTAGTGGTCTAGCCATGCATACCGCTTTCTCACCGTCCGTCGTTGTGCCACCCCCACCGCAGGAGGGGTTTGGGCTAGTACTGGTTTCAGAACTTTAAAAGGTTCTCTTAAAATGATTGATTGTTGCTTTACAGCTTCCTGTAAAGCTAGGCAGACTGCAAAGAGGCCCTTCTCCCAAAGATGTTTCTCTGCATCTTTAAAACTGCACGAGTAAAATCCTATGGGATGAGTTGGGCCTTCAGGCCTGCATTGCCACATATGTGTAGACAGTCCATGAATTACAAAACCCCACTCGATATGGAGGGGATCTGTGGGGTGTGTTGGCCCTAAGGTCGGGTATACCCCAGCCTTGAAGGCCAACAACTTCAAGGCTTCTTCATGAATAGGAGTCCATTGCAGTTTTTTCTCCAGGTAACCAGCACTTAACTTGAGTGGTTGGCTGGGGCCTAGACTTTCCAAAAACATCTGTGACCCAAACTTGTTTTTTTTTCACAACTATGCCATAGCATTTAGCAACATCCGCCCTAAGTGCTGTCATCTGAGCACCTGTCTACTAAAAATGTAACTGGAGTTTTGAAAGGACCAAGGGGAAAGTAACTAACAAATCCGCCGTATTTTGTGAGCCTCCTTAAAGGTACGCACTGGCTGTCCCCCGACTCACTTCCTGGGGATGGTGCATCTTGTTTCCTGTTCTTAGGTCAATCAAATCTCCTTCGGGGTCAGTGGGCACCTTAGGAGTCTTAGACTGGGGCTCCACCCTCGTGCTCTCTCCAGCAGGCTGTTCACTCTTGGGGGTCGCCTTCCCCCTGTCCCTCCAAGCTCAGATAAGTTTTTCTAAGGCTATGGTAGGCGTTCCATCCATTAAATCTTGGGGGATTCCCCTCTCGATTCCTTCAGCCCACAGCAGGTTTCTCCTAGTCCCTGGAGCCTGTGGGAGAGGTCTACTTTCCCACTGTTATACTCTCCGTACTGCAGTTCGTGATTTTGTAGCCCCACCCAGGGAGACCCATTCTCTTACCATAGTTTATCAGATCTTCAGCTAATTACCCCAAGTCATGGCCCCTCCTTGTTGGGGCCTCCATTCCCTTGGAGCCAATGCATCCGTGAAATGGTCCTGCAGCTGCACCGCGTACAGTTCCAGCGAGACAGAAGGACCCTGGATCAGGGGAGTCCTATCAGGGCCAGCGTTTAGCAACGTGTGGGAGGTTGCTGGGGAACTAGGCACCTGTCATGCATTAATTGGAGGCAGGCAGCCTTTTGTAAACTTTTGGTTAAATGATGTATATTGGGGGTCTCAATACACATCAGGTCTCCTCTTTCCAAAGGATCTAAACTGCTGGCCCAATACGTGGCTCGTTGGGTTAAGAATACACCGGGTCCCCAGTACACTTGCACTTTATCTTCCAATAGTGGGGCTCGATCTCCACCCGTTAGTGAAACTCTCCATACATACTCTGTCTCCCACGCTAGCCTGCTGTGTCCTGAATCTGTGATAATTCAGCTGACGAGCGTGGTACCGTTCAGGTGGTAACTTGTAGAGCTGCCCCCCTTGGCCATTATCAGTAGTTTCTTTAATCAGGGGTGTTGCTGCTGCTTCCCCACCCCATGGATAAAAAAGTTCTTTACTATTCTCCAGCTCTTTGATTGGATATAGGGGCTTTAAGTTGGAGGCCTGTTTTTCAGCTAGTTTTGTCAATCTTGAAAATCCCAGTCCGCTACCCAGATCTGAGTCAAGATCTGTTCGATTGTCAGACCTCCGCTCGTTTTCCCCCAATTCAGACTGTCAGATGTTCTCTCAGTCCAGTGTATCCAACAGAGCCGCGTAGTCACGGAGTGGTATTATGTTCTGCAGCTAGTTGGCTCTGCGGGGCTTTAATTTGTTCTTGCAAGGCTTTAACCACATCATTATTATCTCGTTTAATTGGGTGCCTCTCCTCCTGAGCTGCCACCAGGGCTGCTCCCAACACCGCACACACCGTGGGTTTTCCCTTTCCGAGTCGTCATCTTTTCTCCTTAGCAAGGGTGGTAATTCTTTCTGCCGCTGCTCCTGGATTATGCCAATTATTATGAGCCCAGGTCGTTCCCAGAGGGGAGGGACAAGCATTGTACTCCTTCAGCTTTTCCATAATGGGGGAGCAGTCGAGCACTGGCATTTCCCACCCTTACTCAGACCTCTCCTGGCTTACCACTGAGAGATCCCTGCCTGCTCTCACTAGGTGGAGGGCTGGTACCCCCTTACAGACCTTCCAATACAAGGGAATCCTGTCCGTGACCCAGTTAAATGTCACGTCCGAGATTCTTGCCCGTGACCACGTCACATCCCAATTTATTGGGTCCAAGCACACAGTGTCAAGAAGGAGGGAGGTGTGACTTAGATTCACTGATTGCCTTGGTTGGAATAGGGTGCATACAACTCCTGAGATCTGTGCTTGAACAAAACCTTTTATTCCATAGTTAGGCTCATTGGTAGACAATTAGGTAGCAGAAACACTTGTTCGCCATGCGCGTGCGGGATTTATGCCTTGCTTTGTGTAGCTTTCTGATTCATCTCCTACAGCGTTACACAAATACCTGAAGAAGCCCATGAATAAAGTTGATCCAGTCTTGAGAAGACTGGACTATATGGTCGTTTCCAACTCCCCCCAGCACTGTTTCTCTTACCGTGCTGGTCTGTAACTGTGGCAGTACGGAGATGGTCATTAGTACATGCACCTTTGAACAGTATGTATAGGTGTCAGGTAATTGCAGTGTTGCCAGGGAGGAACATAAATCTTCATGGATGTGAGACTGACAAATTGTAAAATAAACATGAGACTTCTTCCCTTCCAAGAACTAAATACTACCGTTTTAAAATATCTAAATGTCTAATTTGGAAACTTTGCTTGAAAGCAAGGGCAGTGTTTTTATGACTTGGGCATCATTCATATTAGAGGTGAGGCTGATATTAAATGTTTAATTTTACTTGTTTTTCAGGAGCTAGAAGCCGTAAGAGATGCATTAATTCCACCTTTGGCTTGTGCTGCAGCTAAACTGGGTGACATAGATGCACTAAGAGCCATAGCAGAAATGGTAATGTAAAATAAACAATTTGTACAAAACATGAATTATTAAATAGAGTTGTAAATGATGGGAGGAAGATGTGCTTACTGGGAAGCAACTATCTAAGTCTTAAAATCAAGGTGCTTTGACTACTGCCTTTGGTTTCTAGGCTCCTTAGTCTTTGCCTTTCAAACTTGGTATGTTCTTTCCCCTATCTGGTTCTGAGCTGTTTACATTTTCCTTTGAACTGTGAAAGTACAGGTAGATTAAAATGCAAGTTCTTATCTGCTGACTTTGGAACACTTTAAAATGGTTTGTGCTGCTTTCTTTCGCTCAGCTTTCTTTATGCATATTCATAGTATCCAGCTTTTGGATGTAAACCTGTCATGATTAAAAAAAAAAAAAACCAAACAACTTGAAAATTATATTTAAGCAAAACACATTGCCGTGCTAATTCAGGATTTTTGACTCTCTCCATAGCTCTAGCTTGAGTTATACCGGACAGAAGAAACAGGCGTTTCTCTGTATCATCTTCTATACTTCTTTTCTTTTTTTTTTTTTCCTCTCTTGAGAATTTGGTAATGGGCTTTGAGAAAGCATAAATGTATCTTGAAAATAACAATAAAAGAATACAAGTAAAATTATCAGACCGTAGGCACAAAGCTGCTGTATGCCAAAGTGCAATAAAGAGCGTATCTGAAGGGGCTGCAATGAGAATACGTGTAGAGAGGGGAACATGCAGAGGTGGAATATATATCTTCCTTGTAGCGTTGTTTTAACACCAATAGAAACTTTAAGTTTGACAAGCTTAACATTTTGGTGGCATCTACTCTTGTACCAACAATTTAATGTGCAGCCATTATCTTTTTAGCATGCGAAGGTTTTGTCCTTTTGTAGGGTGGAAACTTGAGCTGTGGAGACTATGATGGCCGAACTCCACTTCATATTGCAGCCTCTGAAGGGCATTTGCCATTAGTTGAGTATTTGTTGACATCTGGCGCAACTGTTTATGCTAGAGACAGATACGGATCTACCCCACTGATGAATGCGATCAAGTTCAGGTAACAAAATAAAGTTTATAAACCTTTGATCATTTGGGATTTGAAGTCCATCTCTGGGTTTTGGTCTTGTTTTGTCTCAGCAGCCATGTGTAAATGACAGCAGTTAAAATAACACAAACCAGTTTCATTTCAAAGGATGTGACAAGCCTAAATTAAAAGATTTTTTTTTTAAATAATATGAAATGAAAGCAAACAACTTTGTATGCATGCAGAATTTTAGCATAAGGTCACTTATTGCTGCCTTCCTGCCAAGACTTTGTCCGTAATTTCAGGACTCCACTCTTTGTTGTGAGGCTTCCTTATAAAACAGAGCCAAACCATTCACTCCTTTTGACTGTCAGGAGCGAGAGTGCAGGACCGAGGGCTGTCTGGTTTCTTTCTGCCCGTTTCTCATCAAGACCAGACTGTTTCAATTGGCACAAAATACAGCGATAGGTTGACATGTTTTAATCTTTCCCTTCCACCGGTGCTTTCCTGAGTCTCTTGCTGGGTGACTGGTTTTTTGATTTTTCCCTTCCGCCCACTCATAATTATATGCAATGGCTGCATGGCTCTGCCTGCTTTGTGGATTTCCCCTTCCTGTTGTTCTGGATGTCAGTGGTTCTCAGATGATAGTCATGGACATGCTATTTTCTGGTCTTTTCCATGTTGTACTGTCCCAAGGAATGGCCGTAGCACAGAATATAGAAGTTACCAGTTATCAGAATTTAATTTAAAAACACTTATATAGCCTGAGGATTCATAGAGCCATTGGTCTTCTAACATGTTAGAAGCTGCATGCCCTAATCTCTTCTTGTTTCTTTGATCCACTTTCAGCTCCTTATCTCATATTAAGTCTGTATGATGGCAGGAGAGAAGCGTTTTTTGTGTGAAGAAGCTCGGAGTGTTAGAGTTTCCATGGTCTTCATGTATGTCTTTCCCCAAATATTCCCACAGCTCTCTAATATTGACAAGTTCACCTGGTCTGTCAGGCTGGAGTTGGCTTCCTGGGAGGTCTGACAGTCCTGGTTTTGCATTGGCTGCAGGAATAACTTGAAGGCTCTTTCCGTCTCAAAGACCAGATGTAGAAAACTCCACAGGCTCCATTAACTGGAGACTGGATGTCCTGTGTGGCCACACTGTGCTCTTGCCATACCTACTGCACACTCCCCTATGGCTTTGTAGTTGTTGCTTTATCTCATGAATATATAAGCCTCTCCATGGCAAACGCTTAAAGTCTTAAAGCAAAAACAAGCCCAACAGCAAATCAAACAAGTAACCTCACAGTTGAACAGAGGTGGCTCTGGTCCAATGTGAGAAAATGCTAAAGCATTAGATACCATTAGATGTTCCTGCAAATCAGGCACCTACCTTTTTTACCGCACCCATCTACCGCCTGAGGAATTTCACATGAGCTTGTTGTTTGGATTCCTTAGCATTGCCACTCCTATATTAGACTCCTACTACGACTCTTAAGCTCTTTAAAACTGCACACCCATTTTGGTACAGGGAATTGTAAAGGGAAACTGCACCATAACCATTTTCAGTTTCTCTTTTTGTTTCTACTGTTGGAATGAGAGGAAGAGTTGACTTAGAACTAATCTCATAAATGTGTATTTATGATCTGCTGTGTACTCACACTGCATTGCACGCTGATAAGCATTTAAAGAAGAATGGTAAAGATCAGACATCTGTATATGTGTGTAAATAGATGCCCACTAAAATGATTTCTGCTACGGAAATACTTAAATTCTATTTATTAGACAGTTGCGTGCTGAAAGTGAAGAGATTATCCTGATGCAGTGTACAGAGTGGCAGAGGGGGAAGGGGGAAAACTGATCTAAATGATCAGTCAGTGCTTTAAACTGTTTAATATTGTAACTTTCTCAATTTTACTGAATATTGCATCAGCTTAATCCCATTTTCTGAGAATTAATATTTGTTTAATTGGCATTTAACTGCAGTGCAGTATCCACTCATCTTAAAAATAGCTTTCTTCCGGTTTTTTATGTCAAATTTCTCAGAGGCTCGCCTTTTAACCTAGCATGCAAACCTATATAATGATGACTGATTTCTCTTTTCCATTTAATAATTTTTAAAGATGATCAGGAGTTATGTCTCTTCTTAAAAGCTGCTTAACATAGCACTGTCAGCTGGTAGACCAGAAACTTGATCTGTATCAATGATAGTCTCTTAAATTTGTTGTCTTTAAGTGACTCTTCGTTTCTTTAGATGGTAAAATGTGGAGTCCCTTTATAAATAAGAAAGAAAAGCATTTTCATTTGTAACTCTGCTAGTGGCATGTAGTCTCATTCACTTTATGCATGAAGCTAAACAGACCACTGTTAATTTAGGCCAGTTGCTTGACATATCAAAATTAGTAGCATTCCTTTAATTTCTTAGAGTACCCTCAAGGGATAATTCACTTTCAAAACAATAGGATAATATTTTTTTAATAACAGAAACTCTCTAAGCAGGAAAATGTCTTGAATAAAAACTGCATATTTTATGTAGCAAAAGCACTTCCATTTACTTGTAGTGCAGTGGTAAAAGGTTGAAAAATGGGAGTTGCTCATACAGTGCTGTGAGAACATCAGATTAGAGGCAGTAAAGTTACCTCCCACATAAATATGAATTTAAATACTTGATATTTTGCAAGGTTAAATTTACATTACTTCAGGAAATCTAAGGCAGAGTGAAAATCTAACCACCACTGACTCCAGGAGTGCACTGAAGCCTGCCCTTAGTCTTTGAGCATAAAATTCCCACTGATGCCATGCAGAAAACCGAACAAGTGAAACTGAGCTGATCCTGCCATAACCATTCCAGTTGCTAGGGGAGCAAGCATTAAAAAGAATGAAGCCAGTCAAGTTTGGATATATATTACACCTGCATTTCTGTTAAGCGAGGTGGTGGAAGGTGTGCACCCTAAGGCCCCAGTCCTGCCAACTTTTACATGCGTGTTCATTTCACACGTGTGATTCATCCCTTTTGAAGTTGGTTCACTTTTAGTAAGTGTCTGCCAAGTCGAGGCCTAAGATGATACGCACTGTACGGCACCTCGATTGCTGTGATTCCAGAGCCATCGTGAACCGGTAAGCGTTTGGATGTCTTTATCTGGAACTCAAACTTTGCTCGTAGCCATGAAGGTTGAAAACCACACTGAATCATTTGTTTTGCTACTGTTCCATTAAAATATTGGTGTACACTGGGGTTTTTCTCTCTTGTGTTATCAACAATGGAATCTAACAGGGAGGAGACACTAGAAACACTTTTTGTCTGTTTGTTTTTACCTTCAGAGAGCAGATGAATGACAGCGGTAGTATTAAACAGCTAACGTAACATAGCCACCGTTTGGTAACAGAGCCCTAGGAAAAGGGGGAGTCTGGAACAGTTCACAGGTGACAGTAGCTCCTCATGGTTTGGCTTGTCAGATGGGGCTAGGCTGGACAAGCAGCTGCGCACCCCAGGCTAACACGGTGATGTTGGCCTTCTCTCTGCGCCTTGCGCTTTCATTGCCCAGCAGTTGCTCTGCTTTTGGTTTTGCGCTCTCACCTTAGAATGATAATCACATTTGAACCGTTCCCAAGAAGTTCACGGCTCATGACATCAGCTGAACTGTGACCCTCGGGAGGCTTTTGTAAAGCTGCAGGAGAGCAGCACTTGAAGAAACAACTTCCAAAGACAAATACCTCTCATGTCCTGAAGACATAACAGTATCAGAAAATTCACAGCCAGCCTCTTGAAATATGAATAATGCTCTTGTGGTAGGTACGAGACGGCAGAAGTGGTACTCTGGATAGGGCTTAACGTTTCTGCAGAACGCAGATACCGTTTGACTGCAAGTAGGAACAAGCTGCAGTGTGGATTACCTCCCACATATTTTTCATGTTGAGTGATGGGAATGTGAGAGGGGGTCCGTTTGCTTTCTTGGATGGATCTGCTCTTCATAGTCACAGTACGAAACTTAACACTTTTGTGCATTACTACTTGTCCCTATTCTTCCTCTCCCTTACCCTTCCCTTAACAAGCATATCCCCTTCTTTCCACCATACCAAACGATTTTGAATGATTCCCAGTCACTGGGACGTTGTACTTCTATTTAGAATTGGTTTATTTTAAGTACTTACTGTAAATACTGTTTGTTTCAATGCTTAAGGATTTATTTTATTTCAAACCAGTTTTTTTTCTCCTCATTTAAATTTTCTGTATTAAACATGTGGGATAAATGCCCCCAAATCTGTCTGTATCGAAGACTTAGAGTCCCACTCAGACAGTAGCAGCTGTGTGGCGTTAGAGGGACATGAAGTGCTTTCTGGAGGGAATCTCACTACCAGTGAGGAGTAAATGGTTACAGTAGGGGAGAAAAGCCCGGCCCTTCCCTGGAATCCAGAGACATGGCCTTCATAGGGGGAGCGCGTTGAGGGAAGATACAATATTACATGCTTTGCTGCCTTTTAACTTTTAGTGCTGTCCCATAGCAAGGCTTTTATTTTAAAAAGCGCTAGTTTCATGCTGTGATTTCGAATATAAGGTGAGAAATGAGGAATACTCCAGGGCAGTCATTAGAGAGTAAGCAGACACTCCCTATGTTCAGTTCTGTACCCAATGTGAGCTTGAGTGAACAAACACGTTCTACTTTAATCTATTTTAGGTCAGATTTCTTTTCAGCTAATTACTGTTCTGCTTAAGACTGAACTAAAAATTTCATACATGTAGAATTCGTTCTTCCCCACAGATTGAGAATAGGAAGCTGTGCCATTATTTGCTGGCTCAAGGAGATGCTTGTGGGTGACTAGCCATGCTGTAAGGGACCCACCTGAGAAAATACTTTAGATAACTGAACAAACTTGTGGCATGTGCTGTTCCAGCAATGCTTTGCCTTGAAACAAAGATTTTTAATGTTTTTGGACTGTCAATTGAAACAAACTACAATTTAAATAAATATCTCTGGTAGGTTAAATAGCCTGTGTTTGGAAAAGCAAAATAATTCCTACAGCATCTGTAGAGTTCTTTGTTTAGTTTATAAATTAAGATCTTAGATGAAACATACATGAATCACAGGATGGTTTGGGTTGGGAGGGACCTTAAAGACCACCTAGTTCCAACCCCCCTGCCATGGGCAGGGACACCTTCCACTAGACCAGGTTGCTCAAAGCCTCATCCAGCCTGGCCTTGAACACTTGCAGGGATGGGGCATCCACAGCTCCTCTGGGCAACCTGTGCAAGTGCCTCACCGCTATAAACTTACATAGGTTTAATATGGATACCTTTAAAGTATCTGCTCATTCAAGATGGATTTTCCTAAAAAGAAGCCAAGGGATTAGATAAGCAGTTTAGTCTGTTTCTGAAACGAAAATTTTATAAATTTCCATGGCTACGTCCAAGAAAACCCAAGTGATTAAGCAGAACGTGTATGTGAGATTTTTTATTTTGAACTAAATCAGAGGAGTGTTTAGGTAATGGGTCGGGAAAGCCCATATATTTCCTATTGCATTGATATGTCTAACTCTTTATTTTGAAGTGTTGTGGTGTAGCAGTTTACTTAAAAGAGAATCTGTGAAATTATTCCTTATCTCCTGGTGTCATCATGCTCTTTCTGGAGAAAAAAACCTGTGTTTGGATTTGTAAACTAGATCATTTGTTTAGCAGAGGAGCACACTGTCACCTCCTTTTTGAACCTAGTTGTAAACCTTGCACTAGGTTAGTTGTGAAAAATGTATTGTGCACATTTTTCATCTGTCATGTTATTTTCTACCCACGATGGCACCTTTAGGGACCAGCCTTTTCCATAGGCTTCTTCAAGTGTCTGACTAAGGTATAGGAGTTGGCTGGTAGAGGTTAAATATCTGTTTGACCATTTATGTCAAAGGAAAGGATAAAGAAGAACTCAAACTCCTGAGGACTCCAGGTGGAAATAAATAATAAAGGCACTGGGAGGAGGGTGTTAGGAAAAGATGTGGTTTTGGGGGGGGGGTTGTAAGTATACTTACAGCTGAAGCCCTGAAAACCTGATTAGCTTCTAAATTAACCTAAAGATTCACTGTTTACCTGCAAGACATATGTTTTATATAAGACTGATATATATGGGCATTGTATTCTGTAAAGTACAGGAACAATGCTGTGTAGTAAATGTCCTCACTGTTTGCGTGTCTTTCAATCACTAATATTTCAAGTGTTAAATTAAACTGGCAATAAAGAAAATAAAAATTATTTGAAGAAAAAGGGATGCATCCCTAAGCTGAACTTAACACTTCCATGAATGTAGTATGTGAATAATTTTTTGGTGGGGAGAGCAGATCTGTTTGCTACATCTGTCACCTTGGTGAAAATTCATTGGTTCTGTGATGGTAGCGAATATCATATACCAGTTTTCACTGACTGTTGGTGTATGTGAGTAATGCTGGATTTAGGGAAAAAAGCACTACTGGTCAAGACACTTTCTGTTTTTTCTATCCCTTTCATAAAGGCATATACAGGTGATTAATTTGTTGCGAGAAACAGGAGCACACCTTTCAAGCCATGACTTGGAGAACATTGGATCAATACTCTGCAGGTAAATGTGATACGAGGTGAGGTGGCCCTAAAATTGGGGTGGAGGGGGATGTTTTTTCTGAAGAGACCCTCAGAATGGAGAACAGTGTGTAGACACCTTCCAAGAAACAGTTGGGTCCCTGGCACATGACGTGGCTATTTCTGTGCTAGACTAGTGTTGAGGAAACAAGTGGAGTGATGAAATTAAGCATCAGCTCTGTGTCAGAGCACCAATAACGCAAGAGAGTTCCTAAGTGGGGAGTACTGGGGGGATAAGTGAACCGGAAACAAATACGCCCCATTTTTTTCCAAGCACTTTCACTGAAGAGGGGTGAGGATGAAGCTGTGCAAGGTGTGTTTTACTAGCATTTCTGGGAGTAAAGCTGCACATAGTGCATCATTTTTATTTTCTTAAAATCCACTTTTCACTTGGAAAATGAATAGTAGAATGGCTCCTGCTCTAACTAGCATATAGCATTGTTCTTAAAAATAATTAAATCATATGCACAAATACACTTAACCCCAAAACTTTTGAACAACTGTTCACTGTCTCTAATTTTAAGAGGATATAATCCTTTCTTAAAGCTTGTTCTCCCTACAGTTGCTTTTAATATAAGGTGGTTTCATGATACATGTTATGAAAAGAAATAGATGCTGGATTTTATTTTTTACAGTACTGGTCCTGAATTATAAATTACTCTGAAAATTGTAAAAATGCTTCATGTATTTCCTAAAATTACTTATAGTTTTGCTTCATATCTTCTTCTCAAAAAAAACCCAAAAAACCCCTGAGTACCAGTGTTTATATATGGACTTGGCAGGAAACCATGAGACTTGTAGGGAACAGGCAGTGTTGTATGTTGTGTACCAAACTCTAAGGTCAAGGTAAAGCCTGTGTGTGTTCTGTATAGCTACTGGACTCTATCCTTTGAGTAGGTCTGGAATTAAGCCGGAGCATTTTGTCGTCATAACACGCTCGGAGAAGACTGGGAAATAAGACTTTCACCATGAAGTTCAAGTATGCGTGTCCCAGGGCACTGCAAGTGACAGGACAGAACTAAACCCTTGGTTTCCATAGTTTCCATCTGTCAAGAAGGTGAGAGGAGTGGCTTAAGGAATGACATTCCTCTGCAAATAAATTGGCCCCTTACTTAGCCCTGGTGCCACATGCAGAACCAGTTTGGCTAGCTGGCCTGGGAGTAATATGTCCAAAACTAAAGAAGAGAACAAGGGTCCTTTAAACAACACGTGGTCCTGGTGCAGTTTGTTACAGCATTTTAAGGCGGACCATACACCCTGCATCTGTGTTGCACAATCTCCTGATGTTTTGATACTGAACGTTGAAGACGTCGTGAACTTGCATTGATGGCAAGAAGTTTAGTACAAAACCAATGTAAATATTCCAGAGGGCAGGAGCGCACGTGTGTGCAGAGGCCGAGTGAGGACTCGGCGCAGTGACGTACTCGGTGAGAGGGGCAGAGGCTGTCCCACCTTGGTGCAGGTCAGGAGCCAGGGCCGTTGCGCTGTCCCATGCACGGCCGCGGCCAGAGCCGTGCCCGCTGACAGATGTCCCTGCGTGGCCTGGAGCAGGAGCACTGCCAGCCTGAGGCAGCGGTCAGGCTTCGAGGCAGTGAATGGTGGCTCTTCCGTAGGCTGCTCCTGCAGAGCTGAAAGGTTTGCTTTCCTCTTGCTGTTGGAGGGCCTGACATAGTCTTTTGCACCAAAGTGGAATTCAAGTTATTAAATCTCAGTCACTGGTGTTTGTCCTCTTGCCAAAATGTCTCAGATGCTTCCAGAGTATCCTCAGATGACCTGACTGATGCGCTCATTTTTCCAGCATACCCAGGCTCACTGCTCTGTCCTACCTCTTGCCTCCTCCTTTTAAGCCTTTTCTTTGCAGGCACTGGCACCTTCATGGCACTCAACGTGTTCACATGGTCAAGCTGCTTATGGAACAAGCTGTTTATAACATCTTCCCTCTGTCTAATTCAAACTGTTTTCCTACATCTCTTCTATCTTGCAGTGTCCCTTAAGCTGCAGTTTGTAACAGTCTGAATTTGTCACCAAGGCAATATGTCAACTTCTTGGGGTTTAGAAGGACAAAGTTGCTTGTTTTCTGATAAGCTCTGGGTTCCCACACTTAGCTAACATAATTTTTGTGTTGTCTCCCATACAGTTCTCCGTAAATTAGAAGCTATAATCCTGTATCCTCCCTTCCTACTTACTTACCTATCCTCAAACAACCAGACTTTCAAAAAAGAGCATGAACAGTGATTTTTGTGTTCTAATACTGTCTCCTCAGCTTCCTTCTGTTTATACTCATGATTATACAATAGAACCATTCACTTGGAAGATCTTGGGGATAAAATAAATGTCCTCCTTTGGCGTTGGTGGCTTTTGAAAGGGAAAGGAGTACCGACCAGAACTGGCAGTTGCACAGTATCAGTGGGAACTCTTGTGTAGGAAGTGGAAATGCACATAGGTGCAGCCAAGATGATCTGGTTATTAAATCTTTTGTGGTTTCATTTGCTGGTTTCTTTTTTTCTTTTTTTTTTTTTTTTGTGAGAGGTGTTAGTCTGATTTTTAGAATCACTTTGCTGATGTTTGTTATGTGGTTCATGGCTTTGTTTTGAAATAAGAGGTCTTAATGTTAGTAATCTGTTAAAAATGTCAGAATGTCTTCTCCTGTTGCAGCAGTATTGTCATGTGTCTGCAATACCAAACCATGATGAGATAAATTGGGACACTCAGACTTATTCTGAAGGTTTGTCAAGTTCTGGAGTTGGTGAACAGTTACCTTGTGTTTGGGGTTTTTCCAAAGGAAAAAAAGCCTGTATATAATTAAGATACTCTGTACAAAGTCGGTACTTCACAAAATTAAAAAGGGCATAAAGCCAAACCAGCATTTTCTTTCATATTCTTAGATTTCATAAAATGATATGATATAATATACAAGGATGCAGCCTTTCCAAACCAGTGACTTTCAGAATAAGCCTGGGGGGTAAGGCTGGGAGAGGAAGGATAAATATGCCTCTGCAGGAATTAGGACCAAGCTTCTAATGCCTGCAGTCTTTCAAGGAAGTCTCTCTCAACTGCGAGAGATGTGGACATACTAAGAGCAGCAGTCCCAAATGTGTCCAGGATAGAACAACCATGCCTTATGCTGATATTTGAACTTTCTT